TACATAAATATATAAGTCCCCAAAACAAATTCAAAATATTATAATATTTTTCTTGCTTTAAAACTAGTACTTCTAAATTAGTCTTTAAGTAAAACGGATCAAACAAATACACAAAACCCACATGCATGCATCACTTTCCGAAATTCTCTCTATTTCTTTAGAAAGAAAGAAAATAAAATGAATAATAACTTTAGACTAAATGAATGTATAACCACTTTGTTATATTTTAATTAAAATAAAATTTAGGCGTTTCATTCGTTACAACTAATCATATCATAATGTGTAATCAGTTGATCAATTAAAGGATTAATTCAATGTCCGCTCAATTCCAGTTTAACGCGTTCAAATTCATATATAACTTCACTTGTTTTTCATTACATAAAAAACTTGTTTCATTCAATTCATTCTCTTCGTTGACTATAGTCATGTATTTACTCTCTAAATAATAGCATTTTCAATTGATTGTGTCTGTGTTCATTTGTGAGTGAACACCGGTAGTAGCACGTCAATGTCAATGTACATTTATTTCTTATGATGGATAGATCGACTAGCTGGCTGTCGCCTTCATTGTCATAAATCAATGGTGTTATAAGACGATCAACACGATTGGATGAAAAATATTGAAAGAAGACGTCTTTTCGTGTTCTAATGTATTTTCACACATTACTAAAAGACGACTCAAAACATGGAAAACAGATAGAACAAGATAGCAGACGTGTTGTTGATTTAGTAAAATGACACAAAAAAAGAAAATTCTCAGTTGACCGATTACACGTATGTATTTATGTTTGATCTCGGCGGTGCTCATGATTTTTTTTCTATTTCCTCTTCAAAATCAAATTGATTTTTTTTCCATACCAAAGAAGATTATTTTCAATGTTCATCTATTAGTTTTGGTTGAAATATTAAAACAATAGACTCTAACATGAGATCAGTTTTAAATGATGGGATGAAAAAATAGTGAATAATTTATGCACTGTTATTTCGAATGTATATATGTACACAAATAACAAACTAAAATTTAGCATTGTATGCAAAATTTAGTTAAATTGAAAAAAAAAAGAAGAGCTATCAAATCTACTGAACATGTTTTTTTTGCCGAAATGTTTATCCATCTATGAATAATTTGGATGAATAATTAACTACTAATCAAGTCGAATGCATTTAAATTTAACTATATAGTTTTACTACAAAAACTATAATTAGTTTTATAATTTTCATCAACCAAAATAAATCACATTCGAATCAAAGTTTATCATTAAAGTATTCATAGATTCATTCTTCAACCGATATTTTGTAATCTATGTTGTAACATTCAATTGTTGATTTCCATTGGAAGAAAAGTTTTCATGAAAAATCTGAACAATCAAATCAATATAAATAGAAAATAGAAAAGTGTATTTTGCTTGACATAATTAGCCTTCATCAATTAAATTTGACAGATTTATCAACATAAAATATTAAGAATTTTATTCTTTATTGATATTTGAATATATTCCTATGCATGAATATGGACAGACAACTTTCGTAAGTAAGAAAAGTAATTTTTTTCTAATTGACACTTTTGTTATTTGTGTCTCTTGAGTATTGTCACATAGACATATCAGAAACAAGATTAGCTCTCGCTTTCTCGATTGATTTACTTTGCTTCATGTTCTTCTTGATAAGCTTCATGATGCGCGTCCCTCCTGCCGTTTTGCTGACAATAAGCAGATGATAAGACATTCCGTGTCATTGCTCATATTTATTCGATGTTCCATCAGACGCGAATAAAGAGGCGGAGTTTCTTCTTTCCTCTCTCTCTCTCTCCGTTTTTCGGTTTACTGCGCTAAACAAATCATGGAATACGATGGCAGTCTGGTTAAAGCAACATCATCGTCTATTAATCACTCAACGAAATCAACAGGATCATATATGTTCCACCTTCACTTCGCTGAAGGCTATTTTATCCATTATTCGACAATAAGTCGACGATCAGTTAAAACAACAAGCAAATTTAATACAAGCATATGTCGTTACGTTTTTTTTCTTGTTTTTTGCCTAGTAGAAATCTCGTACCTTGTTGACATCAACGACGCCAACAATAGTCACTCATTTTTCTTTTTCTAATGCCAAGTTATTAATAGATTAGGTCAAGTGGAGACAGAAAGAAGGGAAAACGAATAAAAAATTATTTATAAAAATAGGCAGATGCAACAATTTTATATAGCATTGAAAATAATGATAATGATTTAACTTGAATGACAGACAATATACAATGATGACGATGGACAAACATCAAGTGACTTATCACGAACTGCCTTTTTAACTTGATGCGACAAGCACAATATAGTACAGTTCTCTTATATTCGATTTCCGTCCGGATATGGCGGCGACGGCATCTGCTCGTTGTTGTTATGTGAGTTCATCAAACGAATCTATGCACGTGCCTCCATGTTGTACATGTTAATCGAATCTTCTGTTCATCAAGCTCATCACTTGATAAATATCCAAAAGAAATAGAATTGAACTGCGTGTTTATGTTTTATGAGAAGGACAACCGCCTGTTGTGTGCAGTTGACCTTGTTGTATCGATCGATTGAGCGATTAGCGCTTATTGTTCATCAACGAACAATATTGTTGTCGTACTCTGTCAATCAGCCGTGATGTAAGAGCAATTAGCTATTATTCGCCGCTCGTATACACACCTTTGTCTTGAAAACTATAGCACGTGCCTTCGTCATTTCTTTCTCCTTATTCATTGAAGCGAATTTTTAATAGGACATTATTTACACTTGACTGTTGAGGTATTTCCTCCATCATCTTCTTTTTTATGAAACAACAAAGAAAAAAATCCCCATTATTTCTTTTTACACATCAAACGTCTTTTTCTCAAGAAGAAAATCATCATTATTATTATCATCATTATAGAACAACAATCAACCTAATTAGACGCTGCTATTTACTCACATAGTCGAAAGTAAATCACCTGCATCATTGCATGTATACGAGACCAATATTTGATGGATAGGGCAGGTCTCGTTTTGACATGATATCGATAATAATGATCGATAACAATGTAGATTATGCAATTGAAAAAAAAAACGAAAGACGATTAACTCACATATATATGCTTATGTACATATTGCGATTGGATGATAAACATATATATATATATATGTATGGCAATATATGTTCATGTCAATAGGTGGGAAAGAAAAAGAGTGATAGTCAATTAAATCAATGCAAAAGATTTTTTGTAAAGAATGATTAAATTTTAAATTAAATTTCTCGAAATAGATATGAGCAAATTTTATTTGTCAACGCAATTATCTATTAAATCATTTAAAATTCGATTTTGTAAAAGAAGATAAATTTGATATTTACCAAACGAATTAATACTTTCTACAACTAGAAATCTTTAATTGATTATGTTTTGATTAAGCTGAATATAAAATGTATTATTAGTTTTTTTTTCTGAACTTTTTTTTAGAACATTGATAACAAATACAATCTTAATGTAAAGATTGTTTTGATAATATTGTTAACTTTGGCATGAGAATGATCTTTTTTTTTAGATATTCTCTCTATTTGAACAAGTTCTTGAGTCTCAATTTAGGTTTTCAACATGCCGTCAATAAACTAAAAAAAACGACAACATGTTGTTGACATTCAACGGGCAAGCAAAACATTGCTTGAGTGACACCGGAAATGTCTCTCATTTTGTATGCAGTTTGGAAACGTCACTGTTTTACCTACGTAGTCATTCTTCTTGCTGAGTATGCTAATTCACATTTGTTTGCCTGTTCTCATTATTCAACTACTGATCTTCATTAAATCTTTTACATAGAATTTTTTTTCAAGCCTTTTTTCTCATAAATCTGCTAGTTACTTTTCAAATTAGATTGCTGCGCATAAACCTAATAATAGAAGAAAAAATTATTCTTTGTTCATCACTGCGAACTATAATGGACTGCACAACATTAACGTAACTCTGCGCCGGAAGTCAATTTTCTCCGCGTACCAGGGTGTGCCCATGTGCACAGACTTCGCTAATGTTTCCAAACACATGCACACGCATAAAGACATGTCAGAGGAAGATTGTTGGCGAAGAAAAGGAGAAAAAAAAAAAGAAAAAAAAAAGAGAGAGTCTGACATGACGAATCTAAAAAAATCGAGTCATCCAGTCATTAGACAGGAAATAAATGCTGATGCTTGAACTTTGTATAGTGAAGAAGAAAAAGAGAGATACAGGCACTGAAAGAATCGATGAGTGAAAAAGGAACCAAACGAGGAACAAGAGAGACAGAGACGCCAATTGCCGTCGTTGTTTAAACTTATTGAACAAAAATACTGTAATGCACTGCATAAGATCAAATTATTTTTTTTATTCTTATCTGTAAAGATCGAAAAATAAGATTTCAGAAATTTTGATAATAAAAGAATATATATTGAAATACGGAAGCAAAAAAAGAATTCTCATATAAAACGTTGTTATTTCGTTATCGTTAAATAAATCTTACACCCACCCAATCGTTCTTCTCTTTCTACAGATTATTTCAGTGTTCAACGAGAAAGAGAACGAGCAGACATTCCTTCCATTTGTACCCAAGCACATAGATAGGCTCATCTCAATAAAGAACGACTATTATGATTGGTTAAAAAATTCCATTGGACGTGCGGGCATGCAGAAAGACATACATGCATGTCATGATTTTTTTTATATGAGAAAGAGAGAAACAGAGAGAGAAAGAGAGACGGAAAGGCCTCAGTTCCTGCTTCCTTCTGCTCCTCATTCGTCATTGCTACTTCTACGTTATCGTCAACCTACACGAAGAAATATAGCGGCAACGGCAACGGAGATTCAATCTCTCTTAATCGGGCATTGCATTTCCGTAAAAGTTCTTTTCTACGTCGGTCGTCGACACAATTTCAAGGAAGTCCGGGACTTAAAGGCGTTCTCTCTTCTCGTCCGTCCCTCAACCACATATACGCATACCACATAACAACATCGAGACATCATGCTCACTGGTAAGCGACTCGCTCTGTTTAAGGAAGCCAAGATTTCCGTCTGCCTTCAACTCGGTCCATGCGTTTGTGCGCACGAACAGGAATCGAAGTTTTTCCGTTTTGAAAAAAGAAGAAGAAGGAAACGACAATGATGACATTGCCACTACTATTCGCTTCGTTCTAGTTATTACAACTAATATCGTTGATAGATATTTTTCGAGCCGCATTTCACAAAAAAAAAGAAGAAGGAAACGATGATACAACAAGTTGAGCACATCCGTTCATAGAGAAAAACGAAAAAGAAAAGGAGGAAAAAGAAGAGAAAAAATCTATGAGACAAAACCGAGACTATAAAAAACGGTGTAGAAAATATTTGTATTCATTTTTACGTTATTAACAAAAACATTTTGAATATCGTTCTATTGTGTATATTATTTAGAACCATCAAAGCATACATGGACACCCATAGGCATTGGCGGTACAACATCGAATGTTTCCAATAGCAGTAAGTTTATTCTTTATTCAAAAGTCATGATAAAAAAAAGGATAACATTTGAGAAAAGTTTATTTGTCTTGACTCTTTAGCTTAGTTCAAGTGTCGATATAAGATTAGGGAGCTCTTGAAAGATTTGCGCAAATAATTAGATAGATAGAAATGAAAACATGGCAAACTTTCTCTCTCGCTCACATATAAGTGCTTACTGGTACCGCATGTATTTAAGTGAAAAAAGTAAGCAAAACAAGCTGTTGATAAAAGTGACACATCTTTTGCGAGATTTTTTCAGTCTTATTTAATCACACTTCAACACTTACTGAATTTGAATTCTATGAATTTGAGAAAAAAAATTATTGTAAAACAAAATCATGTAATCTAAAGAGTTTTTCCAATAGAAAATACAGTCGTTCAGGATACTATATAATCAATTGTCATCTGTTCGTAGATAGTTGTAAGACACTTGTTTTCATTGTGTGATGAATGACTATTCGCTTCTGCTCATTTTATTTTATTTTTGTGTTTGGTTAAAATGAAGCAGCGGGTGGGAGAAGAAAGAATGAAATGCCGCTCTTTTTTTGGTTCTTAATTATCAATCGTTTGTGTCCCTGCTACTAACTTTATTGTGGAAAGTCAACAATAATCAAATAATATAATCTTTTTTTCTTTTTCTTTTCTTAAATCAAATCGATTGACAATCAGAGAGTTGATTGTTATAGTACTACATCATGCTCATTTAATTGCCTTTTTTTTTCGTTTTTTAGTTGGCTATCACACAACGACAACTCCCTCATCTACATCATCGTCCAATTCATCAATCAATATTGGTGGTGATTCAAGAGTTAAAAATGATTATGATAATGGATCAGGTCGTGGAAATGGAGGAAATGACTGTAGCTCGAATATTAGTCATCAACAACAACAATCATCGTCTTGGTCATCATTGGTTAAATCTGAGTCATCACAAGGATTAAGAGGTAATATAAGAAATAATTTTTTGAAAAAAAAACCTACGATTTTTCTTTTTCTTTTTTGTTTCTAGATCCTTATTCAACTTTTACAAGTCAATCATTTTTTCCTCACAATGCCCATCGATTTGGTGGAGGAGCTACTGGTAAAAAAATTGTTTTCTAAATTATGTTTAAATAAAATTTATATTTCTTTAGGTACAGGTCAAATACAATTGTGGCAATTTTTACTTGAACTCTTATCTGATACAAGTGCAAATTCAAATATTATTGCTTGGGAAGGTTCTAATGGTGAATTTAAATTAATTGATCCTGATGAAGTTGCACGTCGTTGGGGTGAACGAAAATCTAAACCAAATATGAACTATGATAAATTATCACGTGCATTACGTTATTATTATGATAAAAATATTATGACAAAAGTTCATGGTAAACGTTATGCATATAAATTTGATTTCAATGGTTTACATCAATTGAATCAACCACAATTACCTGAATCACCTTATGCAAAATATCAACAAGAAATGATGCGTTCATCACATGCTCATGCTGCTTATTTTAAATGGAGTGCATTAAGTTCAGCAGCAGCAACATCATCCGCTGTTCATATGCCACATCATCATCATCATCACCATCCAGTAGCTGCAGCTTCAACAGCTTATACAAACTATTGGAATCATCCAAGTACATATGAATATGCAGCTAATTTTGCTACACCTAATCCATATTTATCATCATCTTATTGGGTTAGTCCAACAGCAAGTACAACATCATCAACACTTATATCGACTGGAACAGGAGGACTATCATCAACAAACACAGCATCTACTGCCATTTCCCCATCATTACACTATTGAAACTAAAGAAAAATAAACCCTATTGTTCTGTTGTATACAATTTTTTTCTTTTTCGAGTGAATTAAAAAATCACACACCATTATCAGCACGATGTCTTGACGATAGTAGCATGAGGCACCTGGAAAAAAACATCTGCATGTAAATGTGACAATGAATGTCTATCTAGTAAAATTCACTTAGCATGAATAATGATCTATCGTATGTATAATGCTATCATTGTTGTTGTTGTTTCTAAGATGAACTTATTATAACTTTTTTATTATTATTTTGCCTTCTGCCGCTTCATGTTTTTATAATTGAATATGAAAAGTGTCGTTCATTTCCTTTTTCTTTTTCTGTCTATTCATTCACACCTTACATAATGTTCATTTTATTGAAAGATCAAAATTCAGTTTTAAGTCAAGTGCATCTTTTTATTTAATTGTTTCTTCGGTTTTTAACGGTGTAAACGACACGAACAAATAATGCGGTATGATTGAAGACAAAAAAATACAAAAGAAAAGGATATGTTTCATTTTCGAAACAAATGCATTTTGTCAATGACAAAAGTGTATAGAAAATGTTTAATAGCTAACTTGAATCATCAAACAACGAAAAAAAAACAAAGAAATGACAATTGCTATATCATGTCCGTTTCTCTTTTGCGTATTAAAACAGCTGGTGCGATATGTTGCACATAAAAAGCAAACAATAGTTAATAGAGTATCTTCAATGCCATTCTGTTTTTCAGTTTTATCTGTACTCTAAAATATACAATCGTAAAATTATAAATTTCATAATGCATTTTTCAACTAGAATTTTCATATCATTCGTCGTAGTGTTTATTTTGCTAGTTCGAACGAATGCACACTTATTTAACGAATATTTTGGTACGTAAATGAATAATATTCTTATAATCTTAATAAATATCAAATAGACAGTGACAAAACGAAGTCTTAAGAAATTTTAACGTTTATCAGATAGGAATCCATTTTTTCTTTTTTTGTTATGAAAAAATCATTTCACATAACATATGTAAATAATAATATTATAGAACTTTCAATTATATTAAGATGATTAATTAAGACAATTTTTTAGAAATTATCTTGAAAAAATTATATAGATAAGATTTCGAAATTGTAATATTTTTCTTTTTATATTATGTAATTTGCATATTCAAATAGTCAATTCTCTTTATTAATTTTTGAATTCTTATTTTTCTAGAGGAACTCTCTGATGATGTTACACCTGCTATAAATGAATCATTATCAATCAGTTTATCAACGAAAATTTCGAATTCAACAGATGAACGTTCATCTTCATCTCCAATATTAACAGCTCTATCAACTAAATATACATCATTGACTGAAATAAACAATAATATGAACTTAATTTCTTCTGAAAATGAGTCCACTTCATTGTCATTTTCACCAACCTCTGTTACAAGTCAAAGATCACCGATGACCATAGCACCTGATGTACTGGCTAGTTATCTTGTTGATCAATTTAATCATTATCGTAATATTGATATACTTTCTCGTATAAAACAATGTGATTCAAATATGCAACTTAATGATATGTGTGAAACATATTCATTTGATAATCATACTTATTCATTAGTACATGAATCAAATGTTGGATTTCATTCATTACAACATATTTATGATGCTCTTATCGATCGATTGATTGTACAAAAATTAAATACATTATGTTCAACTGCCCAATGGTGTTTGGGAAATTTAACAGGATATAATATTCGTTTTACTGTTGATGTCTTTCGACAACTTGGACGTTCATTTTGTTCACTTGAAAGATGTCATCATCGACTTGAAGTACATGCAAAGGCATGTCCATCAATTTCGACTACGGTATGCACATATAATAAAAATGAAAAACTTTCAGATCAAGTATTTCATTTTTCAATATAGAACATAAGTAAACCGACGTTAGCATTATTACCAATGCTATGTACTCTTTATAAGGAACAACAAAATTGGAATTCAACTGAATGTACTGATCAAATTGTGTATCTTCTTTATATTCTTTATGCATTTTGGCCACAACTTGAAGTAATAATTATTCAGTATTTATGTCAAAGTTTCTATTTGGCTATTTATAGACATGTCATCATATGATTTCTACTGGCTCTGATGGTTGCACATATGAATGTCTTACATTCGACTCTATTTTGCATGAAGTTGAAAATCAATGTAATGGAAAAGCTTCATTTTTAACACGGTAAGTTAAACAAATTTTTATATTAGAAAATTTATTTGACTTTTAACAATAAAAAAAAAACAGAGTTCCTGCTTTGGCTTGGTATCGATTAATTAATTTACAACAAATATGTCGTCATGAAACAATTACAACAAAATCTCCATTTATATCATCGGTAATTTAAATGAGTACATAAGATCATATTAGTAATTTGAGTATTTCAGGTAAAAAGTTTTATTTCTTCAAATATGATCTGGTATCGATTTCATGAAAGACCTGTTCATGCAGCTTTATTTATTATTGTTGTCATTTGTATTGTGATTAGTTTTTCTTTATGTCTATATTTCATGTCAAACAATGATCATGATTCCAATACTCGACATTTGGATGATGATTATGAATATACACGATTACATGATTCAACATTTGAACTTGGTGCAAATACTGAAAGTACGCATTTATTTATTTAATATGTTGGTTTAATTGATTTATTCTTAGTTTCAAATAGGCATTCAACATCAATTGGAATAGCAAATGAATCACAATTTTGTTTAAATGATAATCTTCATTCACCAGAACATCAACGATTATTGTAAATGGAATCATAATTAAAGACAACTTTATTTTCTGTCTTATTTCGTGATTTTTAATAATAAAGAACATGATTCTTTCTTTCGTTATCTTAGTATTGCACTTGTCAAGATAGATCAGATCGTAAATAAATAAAAAACTATATTTGAGTAGAGAACTTCTTGAAGAATTTGTAGGCAATGTGATGATAGAATTGCATGTTGAGAAGAAATGAAAGTAGAAAGACAATGAAATTAATCGATTGCAATTGTATGAATTCTCGTTGAAGAAGGTTATACTTATTCCGTGAAAGTATGAAGAATATTTGGCGAGTTCTTTCTTTTGAATTCAATCTTGATTTATATAATAGAATCAGAATGAAAACAAATTTTCATTACCTAACGGCTGACTTTTTGTGGTGTTAACTGTGTCATTGGTGGAGGCTACTATGTAACTTACACTTGACAATTTATGTTTTCTCTTTGTTGCATATTACCATTGAGACCTCTACATTCTTTTTTTTTCATCTCATCCTTCTACAAATACTTCACGAGTCAAGAAAGAAAGAAAAAAAAAGCAACAGTTTCTTAGTTACGTATGTATTTTGTTACAGAGTTTGTTTCAATGTCAACAACAGACGATTTTTTTAGTAGGGTGTCGGAAATGCAAAATTAAAGTAGATTTTTTTCTTTTCTTCTATGCATGATTAGATAGAGCTTAACGAGTTAATGAAGAACATGTGTGTGTTAATTTTTTTTGCAGTAGCTTTTTAGTTAAGGTTCTCAGCTTTTTCTTATGAACTACCGTTTCTAAAAAAAAAAAATAAAGCGTCAATTATTGATAATAGATCAATTTTCGATTTCTTTTTACATTTCCTTTAAATCCTAAAACTGTTTGTATCGAATTCAGCATAGAAACTGAATCTAAGAAAGTAATTTACAAATTGCTTTCTTTTAGATTCAGTTTTTATTGTGAATCCGATACAAACAGCTTTAGGATTTGAAGAAAATGTAAAAAAAATTGAAAATTGATCGGTTGTCAAAAATTGACTTTTCTTTTTCTTTTTCTTTTTTTAGAAACAGTAGACTACAGGAAAAAGCTGAGAATTTTTAACAAAAAAGTCACTAAAACAATCAAAACACATATATTCTTGATCATCTTGTCAAACTCTATGTAACCATACATAACAGACAAGAGAAAAAAATCTACTTTATTTATATATTTATGGGACCTTAATAAGATTACAAACAGTTTTCAATTATAGATTTCTTTTGTTTTCTTGTAGACTAAAATGGCAGGTAACAATGACTTTGATTCATTATTGTTACAATTACAAGAACTTGATAAATCAAAAGATTATTTGACTATTGGTAATACATTAGATCGTCGTTTTGATTCAAAAATTAATGATATAATTCGAAAATGGATATCAAATAATAGATTATCGAATGAAGAAAAAACGTTTATTGATTTATATTCAAGTCTTCAATTATATTTTGTTGAATATTGTTTTTTTGATTCACAATCAATAACAAATAATGAAGATATTATTGAATTATTTCGTACATGTTTATTTCGAGCAAAACAAATTGATGATTTAAAACAAGCAGTTATATTTATTCGTGATGAACAACCATCCAAAGAAACTGCAAGTGAAGAAGATGAAATGATAATTTATCTTATGCGTATGCTTGATGCACGATCACTTGCGTATCGATTATGTTTTAAAGATCTTAAACCACCTCCAAGAAATCTTAATAATGAACTTAATTTATGTCTTATTCATCTTCATGCCAAAAATTATTTATATAATATGAAATCAAATACTAATACAAATAAAAATATGCATGTGAGTTATCGTCATCGATTTTTTATTGGATGTTGTACATTTGCTGTTGCATTATTTGATGAAAATAAACGATGTTTAAAAAATGATGATAACAAAAAATATATTTGTTTACTCGCAAAATACGTTCGAATTGTGTTAAGTACAAAAAATTTCGAACAAAATAAATCATTTCTTTATTGTCTTCGTGGTATTCTTGCTTTACTTACCAATTGTGTTCCAACGGAAAATTGGATTCAGATTATTAATAGAGCATTAGCAAATCCAAATGATGATGATGCACAAGAAGCAAATCCATTCAATACTGAGCTATTTTCCTTAATAATTGTTCGATTATTAGGATCAAATACTCTTCGAAATAAAGCAATACGGTCTGATTCAAATGATACTACTTCATTAGTTGATGTAGCACTTATATTTCTTAACAAATGGTATGCTACATCAATAGATCTCAATGATGATGATGATGATGATGATGATGATGATGATGATGATGAAAATAATAATACATCTTCATCATCGGATGAACCAAATCAAATTCTTCGCCTATTACGTTCGAGTATAGTGAAAGACGGAAAATTAACTCCAGTCGTAGATAAAAACTTAAATACATCTAAAAAAATAACTCGTGCTAACGATCCACA